TTTTTTAATATAGATAAATTAAAGACAAGAAAAAAACCTGAAGGTAAAGAGAGCAGCAAAGGCTAATGTTGCAAGAGATTAAGTCCTCAATTAAAGGTTAAGAGAGAAGGAGCTGAAATCAAGAACAGAACTTGGAAACAAAAAACATGTGAGGATGAGGAAAAGAAACACATGAGAGAAAATTTTCTGGTTTTGGTATATAATAAGTAAATTATATAAATAATGAGGTAAATAATGAGGTAGAAGAGTAAATAATGAGGTAGAAGAAAAAATAACAAGGTAGAAGACAGGGTGCACAAAATAAAAACTCACTTTGGATATATGGTTAGATACTAATGGGACCATGGATCAAGATAGTCTGGAGCTCAATAGTGGGAAGAAACTCAACATGAGATCATTAATGGAAACAGGAATAAAATTCTTGGGACTAGATCAGTAAATAAAAGCAATATAAAGTGAAAGGAGGGAAGAGACCCAAATCAGAACACTATAGAATACTCTTAACACATAAGAGGGCTGAAAGAAAAGGAGGAAAGAGGAGCCAGATTAAGAGACTGAGTAAGACAGCAGAAAAAGAGAATTTGTCACACAGCTTTAAAATGATGTATTCTCCCTCCCTTCAAGAATATGTCCAGGTGTGGTGGCTCACACCTGTAATCCCAACACTCTGGGAAGCCGAGGTGGGTGGATCATTTGAGTTCAGCAGTTCAAGACCAGCCTGGCTGACATGGTAAAACCCTGTCTCTACCAAAAATATAAAAATTAGCCGGTTGTGGTGGCAGACGCCTGTAATCCTGGCTACTCAAGAGGCCAAGGTTAGAGACTTGCTTGAACCCAGGAGGGAGGTTGCAGTGAGCCAAGAATATGCCACTGCACTCCAGTCTAGGCAACAGAGAGACTCCATATCAAAAAAAAAAAAAAAAAAAAAAAAAAAGAAAGAAAAAAAAAGAATATGAGACATATCAGATCCCATTTGTAAGAAAATGCAACTACTCCCACTCCTCAGGGGAATGTGAAGCTTTGTCAGACTCTATGACGGTCAACATTAGGTGTCAACTTATTTGGATTGAGGGTTGCCTAGCTGGCTGGTAAAGTATGGTTTCTGGGTGTGTCTGTGAGGGTGCTGCCAGGGGAGACTTGACATTTGAATCTGTGAACTGGGAGAGGAAGACCCACCCTCAATGTGGGTTGGCATCATCCAATTGGCTGCTACATTGCAAACACAAAGCAGGCAGAAGTATGCAGGATAATTTTGCTTGCTGGGTCTTCTGGCTTCCTTCTTTTCCCCGATGTTGGATGCTTCCTCCTGCTCCTCCTGCCCTTGGACATCAGAGTCCCTCTTCTTCGGCATTTGGACACTTGGACCTATGCCAGTGGTTTGCAGGGGGCCTGGGTCCTTGGCCACAGACTGAAGGCTATACTGTTGGCTTTTCTGGTTTTGAGGCTTCAGACCTGTACTGAGCCACTACTGGTTTCTTTCTTCCTCAGCTGGCAGATGGCCGATTGTGAGACTTAACCTTGTGATCATGTAAGACAATTTTCCCTAATAAACTTCTTTTCATAATGTACATATATCCTATTAGTTCTGTCTCTCTGGAGAATGCTAATATAGACTCCATATGTGAGTACTTGGAGTGAACTCCTTCTTCTCTTGGGAATGTTACATCACACTCTCTCAGACCCCATGTGAGTAGCTGACTTCAACTAGAGGACTTCTGACACTCTGAACACTAAGGCTGTGATAGGCTCCACTTTGTCAGCTACTTCTCCAAAAGCAGAGAGTTCAGGCCTATGCAGGCCTTGGAGCTTTATATATAGTCTCATCCTGACAACACTAACACCACCTTCTTGGGTCCAGGAACTTCAGGTGTCTTCATGGATCTCTCCTATGTTGGTCAAGCCTGAGAAACGAATCTTAAAAAGGTACAGCTCAATCCTCTTCTGCTTTCATCCTAATTGGACTAGACTTTTAATAATTTGGAACTCGCTCATTATATAGTCAGTACCTCATCTGCTGAGTATATTCCCTGTGAGATTTGTTTAGGTTGTTCTTTCTCTCTTTAAGCACTGTGAACCTATGGGGAAAAGTTATCTTTGTATGGCAAAAAAGTGTGTGACTCATGAAGCCATACTTTGATCATTTCCTTGTTTTCACCATACAGAAAGCTATCACAAAAGTCAACAAAAGCTTTTTAAATCAATGTTAAATACCGCCAAATGCTATAGACAGATCAAGTAAGGTAAGGACTGAAAAACTGAAATTGGGCTTAGCAATTACATCATGATTGGTAAACCTTACCTGATTTTCTTTTTATAGTAGTGAGGGAAAAGGCAGATTGCAATGTCTGAGAAATGCATGAAGAATAAGAGAGTAAGATTGAGGGTTTCCTTTTATTTCACATTGCAATCACAATTATTAATTCATTCAAATACTTAGATGTGACAGGCACATACTTTACATAACAGTGGGAGGAAACTAATAGTTGGTAAGAGAGGAAGGTAAACTGGCTAGCTAAAAAGAAGCTACAGAAAGTTTTGAAAAAGAAAAGAAGACTTATCAAAAGAAGATAACAACAGAGGCCCTGATGCAAGAAAGCTGTGACATCCCAGAAGGACAGGAAAAGCGCACAATAGACAATCAGTAGAATTCTGATAAAATAAGAACAGAAATCGAAACAAAAAACTGACTTAATAAATAAAGGGCTTTTAATGTTTCTTAATAAGGAAGAACTGGTAATTGGTATCAGAATCTCAGAGTATAATACTTACTCTATGCCCTTATGCAAAAACTAACTATATGTAAATTCAGAGGACGTATTAAATTAGTCAGAAATGCTGTTTAAAAGGTACTAAAGTTTTATGTCTCTATCAATTATCCTTTATCCTTTTTATCAGACCTTCTACTGAATATATATTAATACAGAGTATTTATTAATATATCATACATTCAGTAGGTCTGATAAAAAAGATAAATTAATAAATATTAATATATCTGTTGTACATTTCATGAAGATATTCTTTTTTACTTCAAATCAGAGTAAGTTTCCTTTTAATTCCAATTTACTGATAATTTTATACCAAAAAGGGTTTTATGACTGGGCATATGGCTCATGCCTGCAATCCAATACTTTTGGGAGGCTGAGGCTGGAGGACTGCTTGAGGTCAGGAGTTCAAGACCAGCCTGAGCAATATAGCAAGACCCTGTCTCTACAAAAAGTTTTTAAAAAATCAGCCAGGCATGGTGGCGTGTGCCTGTAGTCCTAGCTACTTGGGAGGCTGAGTTGGGAGGAACCCTTGTGTTCAGGAATTTGAGGCTGCAGTCAGCTATGATTGTACCACTGCATTCCAGCCTGAGTGACAGAGCAAGACCTTGTATCTAATAAAAAAAATAGGCCTGGCAAGGTGGCTCATGCCTGTAATCCTAGCACTTTGGGAGGTTGAGTGGAGGAGGATCAATTGAGCCTAGGAGTTCGAGACCAGCCTGGGCAATATTAAGAGATCTAGTCTCCATAAAAAATTTTTAAAATTAGCCAGGCATGGTCCTCGGGGGGCTCAGGTGGGAGGACTGCTTTAGCCCAGCAGGTTGAGGCTGCAATGAGCTGTGATCACACCACTATATTCCAGGCCCAGATGATAAAGCAAAGCCTGTCTCAAAATAAAACTTAAAAAATATAAAAATAAAATCAAATTAAAAAGAAATGAGTGTCCAATTTTACCACCAAAAGTTATTCTGTACATCTTATTCGCCCTTCTGAATTATAAGCATTTTGAAAGAATGCACTTCATTCCTTTTTAATGCTTCCAATCTATCAGACTTAAAATAAGTACTTGGTCTCCGATTAATGAATATTTATAAACAATTTGGTGATCAAATCAGAAGCAAAGGTTTTCTTCAATACCATGTACAGATATAATCACAGTATCCAAAAAAAAGTTAAATGTCATCAAAAGTTTGCAAAGGAATTCAAATTACCTTTCTAATAGCAAACAGTGGGACCGATGACTAAGAAAATTAACAAATTCAATGCATAAATGGAATATTAGGTTGATTCTGAAATTCACCTAAATGACCTAATAAGAAAACCCTACATTCTCTAAGATCATGCTTAAATAGAATAATAGAAACAGCAGGCATCCTAGGACCAGCTGTAGAGCATGTCATTAATTGAACTAGTAGTTGTACTGAAAATAGGTGTAAGAACAGCAGGTAAAGGAACATTTCAGGACACCCTTACTTGAGACATAGTGTGAGTGACTCTGGGCATACAGTTCCTCAAGACTATGAAAATGGTATACTTGTGAACCACCTCTAGGGTCTATTTGGAGAGATAAATATTTCTCATGCCAACTATACAAAATTATATTAAAAACTAAAAAGCAGCAGCACCTTAGTTGAAAGATCATTCTAATATATCTCAAAAGATAATTTAATGAGCTAATTTTTAAAATATAAATGCATGTAAAGAGAAGTAGGTCTTAATAATAAAGCTTTAAGACAACAATGAAGCTGGAAACGAATGCTCATCAAATGAAGGTCAAGAAGACCAAACACTGGATAATTCATGAAAAACACAATCCTACTGGTTCTTCCAACCTACTATTGTCACAATCCTATAAGATCTAACCATGAAATGGGTTGTGGAAAAGCTCCTCTCCTGTAAAATCTGACTTTGACGTAAAGAAAGGAATAGACTAAGAAACTGTTTTATGCATCAATCTTAACCCTAATAAGAATCCACTCATTAAACAAATAATTATCGAGTACCTACCATATGGCCAGGCATTGTTCAAAGGGATGGGGATATAGCAAGGAATGAAACAAAATTTTTGTCCTTAAAAGCAATGCAATGGGTAATGCATACTGTAAATGATCATGTATTTTCATTATTTTGAACAAAAATTAACAAAACTTAGGAAATTGTCTCATATGACGATGAAAATTTAGAGGCATTTTAAATTACAGTCAGAACCTTTCCTTAATTGCATACATTTAAACTTACCAAAGCAAACTGATTGACTTGAATGAAGAGTATTTCTACCTCCTTTTCAGTAACTTCAGTCCCAAAGTCCTTAAATTCTTTGTAGGCTTCAAGGTAAGAACGCAGCCACTGGCTCTGGAGTTCTCTATCTGGATACAGACTATAGTCTACATCACTTACACCTGAAGAAGAAAAAAAAATACACTGAAAAATTTTAAACCATATATTCTTCTGCTTACCTTAATAATCCCTAAAACTGCCATTTTTTTCATTTAAAAAGTTCCATTTTGGCTGGAATACTACATGTTAAGTAAGTAGCATTTATTAAAATAATAAACCAAACAATCATTCTATATTTCAGCTTTAATGCTAAGACACATTACTGCTGATCACCAAATCAATTCTCATAGCTTCAATTTTTCCACAAAGAGTGTAGCTCCGAAGCAGCTGCATCGCAAGCCTAAAATATGCCTTTTTAAGAAGCACCCCAGGAAATTCTTAAGCATGCTGACATTTGGAGCACTATCTGAAAGTGTAGCTATAACACTTTTTAAACCATGACTCATGGCAAAAATACATTTTTATTGACACCTTATACATATAACCAGCTGAGACTAAATTTCAAAAAACAGTATTTATCCCAACAACATTTTCCAGCCTTGATATTTTGTTTCTTTTTCATTCCTTGCTTTAAAAAAAAAAAAAAAAAAAAAAAGTCATTACCCCACAAATTTAATTTCATGATCGATAGTTTGGAAAATACCAAACTAGAAGACCAATCATACTATTTTGCTTATCATCCAAGATTCTATATAAGTTGGTCTAAATCTACCTCACTAGTCTTATAACCTTCTAGTGTTCTTCATGAATTTTATATCCTATAAAAATAAGTAATTCATCTTTAAGTTTTTTCCCCTTTCCTTCTCTTCTGTTTGCACATCCAAATTCTACCTAACTCACGAGGTTTAGCTCACTTTTTCTGTCCACAAAACCATTAGAAGATCACTGGAGTTTTCTATTTCATATCCATAGCAGTGACTGTCTATATTACTCACATGGTAATATTTCATTATATGCACAGCTAGATTTCCCTTCCATAGATGAGATACGTAAAAATACATACAGCATATATGTGGGGTTATAGCATGTATATGATAAGGTTGGTAGTCCAAAATAACTGGAAACGTCAAATTAAAAATTTTTCCCAATGTATTTCCCAGTCTGGTAATCAGAAGTATATAAAAATACATAAATACATAAACTTATGCAAATATGAATTCAACAATAAAAAATTCCTACTTGATATAAACCATCCAGGGGAATGTTCTTAATCTTTAGTTTTTAGAACACTTTATGTTTCTAAATAAAGAGTGATAAAGTTATTTTAAATTATTTCCACTTAACATTTTAAAAACCAGTAATTTTAGATTAATTTAACTGTAGATTAATAGGGATAAAAATGACCGACTGTTCAATATTCATAGCCAAAGACAAAAATAAAAAAGGTTATTGAGCTTTTTAGTGAACCAACACTCCAAAAGCTCAAGTTTACAATGGAAACAGCAAAGGCTTTTCAAATGCTTAAAAATTAGCTTCAAATCTTAGTTTTCTGTATTTTACTGCAACCTTGGTGAGTTTCTTTCTTGATATGTAAACTGGGAATATTACCTTACAGGACTGTCGTGGAGAAAAAATGAGGTAAGATTTATGAAGCACTTTACACTATGTCTGGTCTCAACAGAAGCCATAATCATTAGTTTTCCCCTATTACTTTCTGATGGCAATTAAGGAAGAAATTTTGGTCATCTCTGCTTTCCTCCAGTAATAAACAAAAGCAAAGAAAAATGGTCAACAATACATGGAAAAATGTTGCTCCTGCTCCCTGTTTATCTACTTTAAAGAAAGAATAAAATATTCTGAAAACATTTCAAAGCTAAATAAGTTACTCCAATTGTTATACCTGCAAATTCATTGAAATGATTTCCAATATCATATGCCAGGTAGTTGTATCCAGAATATTCATAATCAATGAACTGTACATCACCTATATGAGACACAAAAACAAAGACATTAAGAAATCATACATAAGATCAGAAAATCCCTATGCTATTTGTAATTAAATAGCTTCCAATATTTTGTCTCATTGTACGTGCTTGATTACATGCACTTCTGAGACAATACAGGGTAAGGCTGTGAATTTTATGGCAATGAGCTTTACAAAATTCAAATTATGTCTCTTGGTCAACAGCTTCTTTGTAAACACTTATGTCCACTTTATTAAAGAAAAACGAAAAAACAGTCATTGTCCAGGTTTAAACAAAAGTAAAATACATCTTTCACCACATGGGGGCATCAGTTACTTAAAAATTCGAGTTTATTTAGAAATGAAATTTTTATCTTTGGAAATTGTTAATAATCTGTGTAATTTTAATGAAAACTTTATGTTACTCCAACAGTAAACTGACAAGCTTATCTACATATGGAAATAAAATATAAACTTTTAAAGATCTGAATTCTGTAAATCTTGCAGTAATGCTATAATACTTGCTGAGCAAATTAAAATTAAGATCATTAACAAGCAGTTAGTTGCTATCATACTCTTACATTTTCCTGTAATACTACATAACTAAGGTTTCCATAAACTGAGCAGCATTAAGATGCATTAAGGTGGTGGTTTTATCTTATAAAAACCAAAAGTATGGTTTCTTTTAATGTTTATAAATGTGAGAAATATTTACATAAGCTAAATAGATTCCTGTTCTAAATTATTGCTACATATATAGGCATGTCATTATAATTCTCCAAAGATAATCTAGTTTTTTTCATACTACTACTCAGGAACTTTTAACTTTTGAGTAATTAATATTACAGAGGATTTGTGTTAACAAAAATATAGGTACTATGTTCAAGAGAAAAATAAGAAAAAAAATGAGAGAAACCTTAAAAAATAAAAATCAATGTGGGTCACTGTCTTCAACAAGGATCACAAACTCGAAGGCTTACAGGGGCGTGGAATTAAAATGGATATATGAGCAGAGATGGCTATAAGAATATAGAAAATGTTTAATAACACCTGCATAGTTACACTGTCTTTTAATTATCTGAAGTAGGAGAACAAACTCCTGGTCTTAACACATTGTTAAATATTTCTCAAATAAAAACAGCTTTTGAATTAGAATGTCTTGATATACATTTCTAAGTTTAATTTTGGGAAGTATTTGATCATATTCAAACACAAAGAAAAAAATTGTATGACAAAAAAATGTCATGGCAAATAGTGTTTTACATAAAAGCAAATTTTTAAAAATATAATTGTATTTAATATATAATTCTAAACTTGAATGTCACATCTAGAATAAGTGAGAATAATCAAAATATAATCCAGTTATCAAAATTAAATGCATATTATTGTAATAAATATAACATTTAAAAATATTGGTGACAAATCAGAGCAATTCAACTACCTTGAGTATTATGTTTTTTTCTCTTTTTGTTTTTTGTAGAGACAGGGTCTTGCTATGTTGCCCAGGCTGGTAATGAACTCCTGGCCTAAAGTGATCCTCCCACCTTGTATACTCCAATTCACAGAACACTATTCCACAAAAAGTCTTAGAGTTAACCAAATCACTTTACTAAACTGCAGAATAGGAAGTAGAAACATGTTTTAAAGTTTCTTTTACAGAAATCATTGGGAGTGGGAGAGTGAAGACAACCATTAGGATAAAATACTTGCGGGCATGAAAATAAAATAAAGCCATGAAGAAATCTCATTTTCAAAAATAATGACCAGGGAAATTACAAATGTAACATGAAAAGAAGACACTAAGTAGTAAACTGTGATCCAAATTATTAAAATATGCCTACAGAGAAAAAATATATATGTAAATAATGCATGGGGGAAAGATGAATGGAAATAAACCAAAATGTTTAAACTACTAACAGGTGATAGACAAGTGACTTTTTTCTTTTATTTTTGTTATTTTCAAATTTATTTACAATAAATAATAGAAATAAATTCGAAGAAAAATGTTATTTTAAAAGAGAGTAAGATAAATTCCCTATACAAAACTATCAGTAAAAAGGCTAAAACACAATGATTTTGGAGATACTTATATATCCACCAGCCTTCAGAAACTCAGGATACAAGACTTACTAAGTTGTACAATTGAGCTAACCTAACAGTTTTAATATACATATATATTTTTAAAATTTGCAGCTGTTGATAGCTTTAGCTCTTTAAACCCAAATTCTTGTAGAGCTCATATTAACTGTTACATGCCAATAAAAATACACAGCCCAGTCCTGAAGCTTACTTTTGCCACATAAATAAAAGCTTCAATTTCAATTTTCAAAATTCTATTTAGAATTTGGCAAATACAGTTAAATGGCAGGTAAAACATGCCTGCTTGTAAATATAATCTAATTAAAGCATAGCACATTTTAACAAAAGTTAAAATCTGTTTCACTATGAAAATTTTAGCAATGACTTTTTGTAGTTACATTAATTCATTAAAACTAGCCTTTATTTTTAAATGCTATGTTGAGTTTATAAATAATGAAATTTTAAAAGTAAGAAAATGAAGCTAACAAGATACAGATGAGGCTGTTACCAGGCTCCGTGCATGTGAACAAGTGATGCGATAAACCTCCAGTCAGTGCGTTTAAGAAGCACGGGGTGCGCCGCCACATGGCAGCAACAATGGCATACCTAATCTGTAGCAGATGAAGAAAATTTGGCAAACTCACATTGTACAAGACACAAAGCTTAAAAGGAAAAAAAGTTTAAAAAAAAATCTGCATTAACTATTCTTTTTCAAACTATTGCAAACAAAGTGGAACTCAACCTTAAATTTAATCTTCTGCAACAAAGTAAAATTTAAAAAGCCAACTTCCCTTAGTTAGGGTGCCAGAAAAATCAAATTACTGGAAAATGCTTTCCTAACAACAGAAAATATAAATTTAACTTCTGACTTCTAAAATTTCACTTTATTTAAAAGAATATCCACATCAGCCTTAATTTAATAATTCACTAGCTCATATAGCATGACCATCTTGTCAGTTCTTTAAGAAGTGAATTTTTAATTGGGCTTTCAAGGATGAAAAGACAATGAGAATATTCCCTAAAACTTTATGTGTATGTACATTTTCTTAGGAGGAGATTCTCAATTTTTCAGATTCTCGAGGGACCCCTGACCTTTAGAAAGTAAAGAATTACTACTTTAAGGACTAGGAGTATTATTTTATTTATCTTTATATAATTATTGCAATGGCAGGCACATAATAGGTAAAGTATACGATTGATGAATAAAAACATAATTTGAATTTTCCAAAGCTACATTTTGTTTTGTATTACTTTATTTCTTGTATATCTTTATCACAGTATTCCAATCCCTACACTACTGGTTAAACTGTTCACATCTTAGTATATTGAAAACAGTCTGCCAATTTTTAAAAGTACTTTAAAACCAAAAAATAATAATGTATTAGCTAAAGCTATATAGTTATCATATGATCATGTTTGTCTGAATTCCTTTATTTTGTTGTTAGGAGAAATGAATTTTTAAAAAAGCAAAATAGTCAATATGATAATCTGAAAATCCTTCCCACTCACCCTACTTGCTCTGCAGTGTTAGACAGGTGGAAAGAGAACAATAAGAAAAGGAACTATAATCCTACTAATGTTAGAAAAATGTTTTCTATGTTATTCAGAAAAAGACAGGAAGTATTCTAGTCTGAAACACTTTCCCTTCACTCCTCATGCTGGTGTCCTGTAGTACTCTGCTGATCTTCACCATAGCACTCATCATTCTAAATGTAATAAGGATCTGACTCCTCCACTACATGATACACAGCCTCCTGGAGGGGTAGTAGGGTCCCTTTCCTCTTTCATCATGCAATACATAGAGCAATCCCTAGGACACAGAAAATATTTGAATGCTAGTGGAAAAAATGGAAATTTTGCAGAAAATGCTGACACACAATAACACATTTGCTGGGGGGATGAGGGAAGACAAAATAAGCATGCAAAACTAAAGAAAAAAGTGTGGTGTTTCTGACATTTTTATTCAAGTACAGGACTGAACACAGTGGGCTAGAATATATGAATTTTTTAAAAAAACTAGTACCTATTTTAGGTCATTCTTAATTAATAAGTTAGATTTTTATGGTTCGTTTAAGTTTTTTATTACCTGACTTAACAGATATTTTATTTTCTGCTAACTAGCGGTTGAGAATACAAATTAAAACAGAGTGAAAGATTATACTACATTCAAAAAAAACACTCTAGAAAACAGTTTACCAAACACAAAAATCAATTTGTACGTATTTAAATGTTTAAAAAGCAACGAAAAACTCTTTTCCGTCATTAAGATATTAATAAAATGACAACTACAAAGCCTTCTCAGGAGTAGTACAGATAGATCAGATTTAGAGCCAATCGAGTGACTATGGGGACTCACCCATTTTCTATTTATATTGCGTAGAACTGTTAAAACAAAACAAAATAAAGCAAAACCTGGTTTACTCTTTAATTTCCAGAAAAAGCTTTTCCTTTTCTTCTACTCATTTGTATTTCCTTAAACAGCTGTAAATCAGCTTCTCGTATTTTGCTAACAGAGAAAATAAACAGTGATTGCCATTACTGAAATTTAAAGTTATATATTAGGTATTTGCATGAGCTTTTATGAAGAAATGGGGGAAAGGAAGAGAATGAAACAGTCACCAAAAGTCATGAGACCAATAAACAGTCTGAGAGAACATCAAGACATGAGATAGAAATCTCAACAGCTTTAGCAATTTCTTGACGTCAGTAGTTAAATGATCAGTTGAAATTAAAATATTAGATTTGAAGTTAGTCAACAGGTAATATTATAATTTGTTCTGCTTAATCTAAAGTCTATTAAATTAACGATTGACTTAAAAGATGACTGATAAGTCCTAACGTTCTGAAGCAAGAAACACTGCCTTTGGTTTCCTTATTATACATTAAATTCTATCACCATTATCATTAAGTATTCTTTTCTTACCTTTTTAGGATGTCATTTCATTGAAGGCAAGGAATGGGCCGCTGCTTACCAATCACCTAATTCCTGGCACTAACTTTTCAAAAATCTTGACAGCTACCATCAACTTCAGAAAGGAAGCTCACTCTTCTCCCATGTCCTGAGTCCTGTCAACTGACATGGTGAGAGCAGGTGGAGGCAAAAGTTCTTCCTGTGATGCCTATCAGTTCCTATAACGTTCGCATGTAAAAATGCCTACAAACTGCAGGCTGCTCATAGTGTGTGTGCCTTGTGTATAAAAATATGTTATGTATACACATACCCATATATATATACACACATTTTTAATTCTAAATTAAACTCTCAAATTATACTTGAGATAGAAATTAAAAATTGCACTTAAAGACAAACTGAATTGTTACGTCAAATCTATCTGTTAATTAAGTCCTATTACGAGTAGATACTAGCCTATAGTAACCATTTTTCTTTTTTTCAGAATCAGGTACATTTTGTAAAACAAATGCTATAAACATAATACAGGATTGGCGAACTATGTACCCTCAGCCCAAACCCAATCCACCACCTGTTTTTGGAAGTAAAGTTTTATTGGAAAACAGCCACACTCATTTATGTATGTATGGTCTATAGCTGTGTTCATGCCTCATCACACAGCTGAACAGTTGCAATGGAGACTAACTGGTCCACAATGCCTAAAAGTTGTACTACCTAGCCCCTCATAAGAAACGTTTGCCAACACCTATGTTAGTATAATAGCTACAACTAAGAGCTGGTAAGTCCTTGGTCCAGTGCTATATATTTTATATGCATGATCTAAAACCTTGTTAGCATTTCATCTGAAGTAGATATTGTCTATAAGTTACAAATAAAGCAAACTAAAGTTTTAGACTATCAATAGTAACAAAAACTGCCTCAGAATCTGTTAAACACAAAATTTCTAAGGCTACCTATAAAAATTCTTGTTCAATTGGTCAGGTGGGGCCCAGAAATCCAAATTTTTTTCCCAAGTACCATAGGTGACTCTGAAGTAAATTGCCAAGAACAGTCTGTGTCTTTACATAAAGACATAAAGAGATAAAATGACATGTTTAATACTACTTATTTCTGTAAGTAATTGGGTAAGGATCTAAACTCAAATGTGCTTGGTTCCAAAATCCACACTCTTTCTGACTTCTCTCAGTAGTAACTAAGCTTTAAATACATCTGCTTTTAAGAGTTAGAGATTTTCTAGTACAAAATCTAAGTTACTGTGGTTTAAACATATATGCAGAGACATCAAGATGATCCAGTATAAATTTAAGAAGTTTGCCTAAAGTTTGTACTTCTGAGAGGAATCTGAAACATATTGTAGACAAATATTGAGTGTGACGATTTCAAGGCCAGTCCCTCGGCTTTCATCGTATTATGTTTTATCTATTGGTAACTCAAAGTTGGGTACACAATAACGAAACCCAGAGCTCAAGTCATATGAATGACTTAAGAAGAACAAATCAAACATGTTTGTGAATATGCTGCTTAATCATTTATTCTACATGGAAATTACCTTAATCTCAAAAGACTCAACATGGCATTTATATGCCATAATAAAACAACTAGTTTAAGAAGGTAAATAACTGCAGTCTGTATCTCTAGTTTTAATTAACCTTTTCAAGATTGCTGTCCTAAGTGTTAATGCTATGCTACAACCCCAAATATATAACTGTTTACATATTAAATTTACTAAATATTGACTATTTTTTGCCTATTAAGTTTCTTAAATTACATAATTTATACTTTTTAAGTATGAGGCATGGGATATTCTACTTACAGTAAACATTCAAATAAGTCATACAGTTAAATTACTTCAAAATCATTAGCTCCTAATTTGAAACATAACACTAAAGACTAGACTAAGCTTCTTGCCATACTTTAGTTTTAGATTTTTATTTGAACATTCTAACCATATTTCTTAATGCTTATGTTTCAACTAATCACATAGAAATTACTTATTTAAACAGATACCATGGGATCAAAACTAGCCTTCTTAATGATCATTATAAACACCGGTAAGGAGAGGAAAAAAAAAGAACATTTCTGTAACTAAAACACATAAATAACCACAAAGACAAAGAAAAAACAAATGATACAAAATAGACTTCAATAAAAAGGGAAAATTCTTAAAAATGTATCAAAATAGTTCATCTGTGGACCTGTAAAATTTTTCTGTGTAGAAAAGGAAAATTAGACACAAAAGTATGATTCAAGTAACTTGACACAAAAACAAATGACAACCTTGCATTCTTAAAGCCAAACTGAACGAAGATTTTATGTGAAAACATGGGAACTTTGCATATAAGTGATCCAACAGTTTAGAGGATAGGTGACCATTTAAATAAAAGAGTAAAATTGTATTTTTTAATACCCAAGACAAAGTAATCTGATTTTTTTGGTCCCTTATTTTTTGGTTTTATAAACAAGTTTGTTCTGTGAAATGAATATGCAAAAGAAACTTAAAAAATAAAAATATGAAAGTTTAAAATTATATTCCAAAGGAAATAACAGATTCTCTTTGATCAACTTGCAGTTAAAAATAAAGCTGAGTGTCCACTTCAAATGTAAGATGAAGTCCCTCACTTGAAATTCCATTATATAAAATGTGTTATTAGGTCCTGCACTGAATTTACAAGCTCATACACTGCTTTTATGCGTAACTAATGCTCTAGTCTCACAAATGGCATTGAGATTTGGTTACCAGTAAATAATGTAGTGCAAATGTACTATGATAATTAAATATGATAATAGACAACAAGACATTAAAGGACACTGTCAAGTATTTAGTGTTCTAGAGTATGCCTGAAATTTTTAAAATGATGCCACACAAGCATTTTAAGATGATTCAAAACAAAAATGTTAGCTCAGTATGTTTTTGAAAAATAGAATCTCTAATTAACGTTGAAATAGCAAGCATAACAAATTCTCAAATGTACTTTTGGAAGTATGTGCTTAAGCCTACTACTCTTGACAGTGTACCTTGGGTTTTCTTAAAATGGAAGTCAGTTATATCTATCAACCTTTGTATTTTAATAGTCCCGCCTTACACTGTAAGAAGGGTCATAAATAGTAATTTAATATAATTATGACCATGCTAATGTGAATTCTTAGGCTTTAGTATATTTACAACAGCACAATTTTGATTAAAAATCTGGCCTTCCAACTATAATAATTATCTTCAAAAACTGGTTTCCACGCCAGGCACAGTGGCTCACACCAGTAATCCCAGCACTTCAGGAGGCCAAGGCAGGAGGATCACTTGAGGCCACAAATTCAAGACCAGCCTGGGCAATATAGCAAGATCTCATCTCCACACATACAAGAAATTTGAAATTAGCCAGGCATGGTGGCATGCACCTATAGTCCCAGCTACTTAGGAGGCTGGAACAGGAGGACTGCTTGAGCCCAGGAGTTGAAGGCTGCAGTGAGCCATCATTATACCATTGCATTCCAGGCCTCGTGATGTAGTGAGATCCAGTCATTTAAAAAAAAAAAAAAAAGGGGGGGGGCGGGGAAGGCTGAGTGTGGTGGCTCATGCCTGTAATCCCAGCACTTTGGGAGGCTGAGGTGGATGGATCACCTGAGGTCAGGGGTTCGAGACCAGCCTGGCCAACATGGCAAAAACCCCATCTCATCTCTATTAAAAAAAAAAAAAAAAAATTAGCAGTGCGTGGTGGTATGTGCCTGTAATCACAGCTACTCAGGAGGCTGAGGGCTGAAGCAGGAGAATCACTTGAATCTGGGAGGTGGAGGTCACAGTGAGACAAGATCGCACCAATGCACTCCAACATGAGTGACAAGAGCAAAACTCCACTTCAAAAACAAAACAAAAAGGTGGCGGGGGCGGGGGCTGGGCTGGGGAGACTAGTTTCCTACAAAATGAAAACACAGTTTCAAAAACATTTTTTAAGTTAATAAGAATCCTTCAACCAAAATTATATTTTTAAATTTCAATTTAGCATTGAAGGACATCTATCACTTAGCAACCAAACCTCAAACCACTTTACCCAATAATGCAATATACCCAAATGTTTCTTAAATATGGAAACAGAGAGCAATTGAATACAGTGTACAAATATGAACACTCACAAAAACATTCCACCAAAAAGTATCAGTCTACCTCAAAAATGTTGAAATTATTTACTAAGGTTTCGATTATTACTTTAGTAGATATAAACCTGAGCAACTACAAATAGTATCTCCTCTATCTGTAGCTCTCTCCTTAGCATCAAAATATCTAACAAATCAACATAATAAATAGATGAGAAACCTGGAGACACATTTGTTTTTAATACTGTTTTCCTTCCCAACACTGTATATTTATAAAGCAGTTTAATCAATGTCAACTTGCTGATTTTCCACATCCCCCATTACAAGCGGGCACACATTCAACTCATTAATAATCAAATAAGTTTTGCAGTTAAATTTATAAACAAAATCATTTCATCATTTTATATTTTAAAATCTCACAGAAACCACAAACTGTTTCTAACAAACCAATTCTAAAAAACATATTTTATAGAAATATAAAAAGAATATATATTCTCACTTATCACAGTTACTGTAACTTGATAACCTAAAAGAAAATCTTTAAAGGTTTCATGCATGATCTTACTCCTTGCATTTGAATTTGTTTTATTGATACAAAAATCAAATGACCATTAAGAACATAAAAGAAATCAACTTTACTTACTGCTAAGGTCAAATACCTACCTTGTTTCTCATTGTAGATTATATTCTTACACAATAGGTCATTATGGCAAAGCACAACAGGTGAGCCCAGGTTGGAAAGAATCTCCTTCATCCAAGTCATCTCTTCCTGAAGAATCTGAGAGCTTGGGATATCACTTAGGAACCTTTTAGTTTTAAAAGAAGAGTTATATCTTGTGTATCTTAATGACGTTTATTTTCAAATTTGAATAAGGATTATAATCTATTTATAATAAATCCCTTCAATTTAATTGCACATCCTGCTGAATTCAAACAGACCAACTAGTCTATTTCAAAAGTTAGAATAAAGAAAACCTTTATAATAAGCTTAGACATGCATAAAAGAAACTGAGCAGCAATTAAAATGTAGGACAAAAGTTAACAAAAAAAAATCACTAAAAAATTGGGGAGAAAGTACTAAGCACTGTTCTAAGTAATTAACATTTATCTCCATTTTATAGAAGATAAAATTAAAACATAAGGCATTTAATCAACAGATTTAAGTATATTATTTAAAGTTACACAGACTATTTTAAAAATTAAAAATACATATTTCAAGGTTGAAAGAGTGAATGCAATATACATCTAAATTCTCAGAAAAGTCAATAAACTACCGTCTACAGTTGATAAGAAATACAGTTATCCTTATATAATACAGTTAAGTCAAAACAGAACTATTACAGAAATTGCCTCAGGGTAGGGAGACTGTGAAGGGTGGGAGGCAGCATGGTGAGCTGGACTAGAAATCATGGCTTTTTGTCCTATCCTCATCTATACTGATTATTATCCATATTTGTATTAATTTGATTTAAAAATCAAAAGAAACACAAATGGGCAGCTACCACTAATTTCCCAGTAGCACCAACCAGGCTTATAAAACTCCTACACTGCTTCCCTTCTTCCCTTAACACTGTAAGTCACAATCTCTTGATTCTTTTTCCAAAGTCTCTCAAATTACTCCTTGCTTCTCCATTAACAATATAATACAGATTCTTTTTACATTACTTAATTTGCCTGTTCAGGTGGTTTCTACCTATATTTTCCCCACTACTGCATTCAAAACTAATCCTTGTATGCTTTTCTCAAAACTGTATGACTGGTCAAAAACGTGTTTTCTTTTTTCTTTTTTTTTTTTTTTTAAAGGTAGTGTTGAATGAAAATTGTGGGTTTCAAAGGATTATAAACCTTATAACCATGAACAAACAAAATGGAATAAAAGAAATACAAAATGTATTTAATATTTAAATTGTGTCTTCTGTTCTAGCTGTATTATTTTCTATTGGGGTAAGTGTTTTCTTCCTGTTTTTTACCATAGTACCTCTCCAGCTTTTCCAAAGCATCATTAACCTCAAGGATTTAAACTATATGTTGGAGAGCCTAGGAAATGTAACTCAAATAACCTTCTCTGAAAAACAATATTTATTAAAACAGCAGCTACCTCAACACTTAAGTGCTGACCAAACACTGTTTCAAACAACTTTACATATACTAACTCAATCCTCACAAAAACCCTATACGGTTAATATACTACTATTATTTCCATTTTATAAATAAGTAAACAGGTAAGTTCCCTAGTTGAGTGAATTACACAAAAGAAATGTTAACTAGCAGAACTGAGATTTAATCTCAGTTTGGCTCCAGGCTCTTGTGCTCTTTGTATAATATTAGACTTGCCTCTCAACTCCGCAATATCTTATGAAGTCAAGAAAAATCTTGCTTCACCATTACCACCTACCTCTTTATTTTTAAATAGTGTTCCCCTACTTCCACCCCGACCCTTGCTGTTGTAGGGTGTAATTTTTGGGAGGGGACGCTGAGGGGGATAGAGAGGCAGTTATTTCTGTAGTGCTATCTACAGCCAAAGAATCAATGCTAATTTTACTTCAATGTAAAGAAAGAAAACCAGATTTTCTACAATGAAACTTTACAATTACCTTTGAAACCCTATCATACAGCAAAGCAACGTAAAACATAATTTCAAATGTAAACATAATTTTACCTTTTATTAATGTCTTCATCTGCAAATCCTGTGGGAATGAGAGAGAAATACTTTCCCATCTTTAGCCACAGATTAGATTTGGGGATCCAGCCATTGTGTGCATGGATAGCATGGATTTTAGCAAGCTGACGAGCTATTAGCCTGTTTAAAACAAAACACATAAGAAGAAGTAGTCAAGCATCATAAAGGTCATGTCTATTGACCAAGATTCTGATCCAACTTTAGTCAGTCTCCTGAATCTTCTTGTAGGACCTACCTGTGCTTTCCCTTATAAAAAACAGTTTTAGCAAGAACCCTACTTAGTCTGTTTAGCAAGAGTACCCCCACCCTTGACATCTGATCAGGTTCCTTATCCTCTACCATTCCCCAGATTAATTACTCTGATTACTCTGGCCATCTTCAGCAAAAACCATTAGGTTGTTTTACCCAGAAACCCCATACTCTGATGTTACTCTGAGTAATTTCCCATCTGCCGACCCTTACCCTGCTCCTTGGGGATAAATTCCCACTTGCCCATGCTGTATTTGGAGTTGAGCCCAGTACCAAAATCGTACTGCCGTGGTCCCTATACCTGTATCTCAATGATTCTAAAGAAAGTCAGCCTTATCATGCTTTAACAAGTATCACTGAATAAATTTCCCCTTAACCGTTATGATGCTGTGATTCAGAATCAGATTCATCATTGGACCCAGGACCTTATGTTTGCACTTCTAAATTCACTTCTGACTGACTGATGGGGATCCACTGCTAAGTCAGATTCCTGAACTACTGCACATCCATTGAAACTGGCAAGAACTTTGATTCTTAAGATTTTGAGTGTACTCTAAAACTAGATCAGAGTCCCAGGCCTCTTTTGAAAGGTACCTCCTAGGCTGGAGGTCCTTCTCCTGTCTTTCTGTGAGGCCCCTCTGTTCTCTTCATTGGCTCCTGCTTCTCTCATGTGAACTTCTCTGGCCCCTGAAATCCCTCTTTTTAAACCTTGGCTCTATCAACTCTGTCTGCCTAGTTTCTATTAGCATGATTTTCCTAAGGAACTTCAAAACAAACAGGCTTAGGTACTAACGAAATTCTGATTTAACTGGCCCGGTGTGCAGCCAGGACACTGAGATATTTAAAACCTTCCCAAGTGATTTTAATATGCAAAAACATTTGAGAACCACTTAAGTAAGGCACACAGAGAATCTAGCATTATAGCAATCCTTAAATAGCACATTTTTATTATTACATTTCTATACTATCGTGAATATTCTTGTTTTTATCTTACTCCTAGTAACTAAAGAATCCTGATTTTCCTTTGGAGAAACTTGTATCCCTCTCACTTTTAGTTCAAGTCATTACTGCAGAGCTGATCTCAATCCTAACTGATGTGCATCACTCACTTCAGTAGCGAGTGAACATATGGTCCAGACTTGCTCAGAGCATTCTATCAGTCAGGCCACAGTGACTGATTTAGCACATTTACCCAAGCTAAACCAGAGACTTGATTCTACTTTTGTTGAAGCTATAAACTTTATTTGAAGTTATTAGAAAATTGGAAAAATCTCCACCTGGAGTGGTTAAACCAGTTAGAGAAACCCACTCATTATTATTATAAATAGTCCTAAGGAAAGTTTGTCAGGAAACAAAAAAAAGCTAAAAGAATAAATGAATAAAGTAATATTCCTAATGACATTGCTACAGTCCCTTGATTTACCCCATGTTTGAACTCAGTATTCTTAATTATATGTACCAATAAATTCCTTCTCCTTTATGTCAGTGTAAATTGCCAAATTATCCTCAACCAAGAGTGTTAGCATCATCCTTAATCTGACTAATGCATTATTAAAATATTAAAATCCATAATCTTTTTATATGTTTACTTTGGTTCATACCTTTCAAATAAATGAGTAAATAAACATTTATTTCTATAAACTAAAACATTTTGACTGACCCTCCCTAAGACCACATACTCACGCCCACAAGAATACAGAAAACAAATCTATTTTTATGTCAGTCTCATAATATACACAGAAAGCTAAGCTTTGATACTTAAGCACCAGGCAACTTAATGAAAAGGCCAGGTGGTGATAAAATCAAAACAAAGGAAATTGCAAATGCATGCATGTACACGCATGCACACAAAACAGACACACATACACACTTTAAGCCAGTTAAAACTGGTTTTAAAACCTCAGAGAAGAGGGGGAAACAAAAGGTCTGAAGAAAGATAAAATCTGTGTTACATGAAACACAAGGGGTGATCTATGTCAACAGAATATTATGTCTTAGAAATATTTACTGAAGAAATGAAACATGATTTAGGAGAGGGATCACAGGTATTTAACTCTAACAACTTTTATTTGCTGTGATTTTTTTAAATAAATGAATAATAATACCATTTCTAATAGTTTCATCCCAGGGTTTGTAAGAGACTCTGATTTGGGGTCTCTTACAAAATATAATTTTCCCCTTTCCAAAGGGGACACACGTGCTGGAACCTGTCAGAACTCCATGACTTCCTCGAGTGCACTATGCAGGAATCTGAACAGGTGTAAAGAGAAGTAAATGCCTGGGACAGCAGAAGGACTATGTCACCAAAGGGCTCGGCACAATAGTTCTGGTTTCAATGAACAGGCAAAACTCAGGGAAGTACAGTCATCCACTGCTGCAGCTATTTGGAAATACTTTCCAAACAGTCTCTTTAGAACTAAGTTGTTTCTGCTCTTATGATCTGAAATGATCCCTGTAAGCTTACTGAGATCAGGAGACAAGGAGGCCCTGCACATCACATGGATAAAGTCAGAAAACTATAATACTTTTGCTGACTTAAGTTGTTTTTTAAATAAAGTATTTTGAAATGCATGAGAATCATGCTGCAATATGGTCATTCCAGAGCAAATATATATTTCAAGATGAAACTAAAACAGTTTTAAATTAATTTTCTGTGTATTAAAAAATATATATAATCTTAGAAGTTGTCCAGTTTCAGCTGATAGTAACTGAAATGACAATTCTACAGTAAATACTTCAAAAATGAATAAAACAGTATGACCACAACTCCAAGGGGCATTTACAGGTTAATGAAATTTGTTGAACATCAATAGCTCCTAGAAAAGAAAGTATCAAAAAGATATTCACAGCAACATAATTCACAATAGCCAACAATGACTACAGCCCAAGTATCAATCCACCGATGAATAAACAAAATGTAATACATAAAGGAATATTATTAAGCTTTGAAAAAAGAAGAAAATTCAGGCACATGCTCTACAACATGGATGAACCTTGAAGTGTTCATGCTAAGTAAAATAAGCCAGTCACAAAGAGACAAACATTACATGATTCCACTAACATGATGTATCCTAAGTAGTCAAATTCCTAAGGACAGAAAGTGGATGATGGTTGCCAGGGACCAGAGGAAGGAGGGAAGAAAGATTTTTAAAAAGCATAGAATTGGCCAGGCCTGGTGGCTCATGCCTGTGATCCCAGCACTTTGGGAGGCTGAGGCAGGTGGATCACCTGAGGTCTGGAGTTCCAAGACAGCCTGGCCAACATGGTGAAACCCCATCTCTACTGAAAATATAAAAACTGACCAGGTGAGGTCATGGGTACCTGTAATCCCACCTAACCTACTCTGGAGGCTGAGGCAGGAGAATCGCTTGAACCTGGGAGGCAGAGGTTGCAGTGAGACTTCACCACTGCACTCCAGCCTGGGCAACATGGTGAGATTCCATCTCAAAAAAAAAAAAAAAAAAAAAAGTATGGAGATGCAGTTTTACACTATAAAAAAAATTTCAGGAAATCAGCTGCACAACCATGTGAATGCAGTAACACTACTGAGCTGTACATTTTAAAAAACGGTTAAGATGGTGATAGAAGGGCCAGAAAGAAATTATTTAGTCAGATAGTGAGGCTAAAGGAGTCCTCAGTAAAGAACTCCCCTTTAACAGAAAGCAGCCCCCAAATCACTTCTAACTAACAGCAACCTGAAAATTCAAGCTGCAGACATAGATAAGCAAGCTAGAAGCTTGCACGGGTGAACACCGGCAGCTGTGCAAATAGAAAAGGGCTACCTGGAAGCCAGATATGTTCTACATGGAGCCTCTATCTTCCCTTTTGTCACCATGTGTCCAGTAAAAGAAGCAGGCAAAATGGCACTGGCCAGGTAGAGAACCATCCACATAATAAAAGATTAAAGTTGGGCAGCCAGCTTCTACACTTTATGCAAAAAGGACAACTAGTCCGACCAACATTTCGTGCCTTATGCAAATCAAACACTGCCTGCTCAAGCTAATCTATAAAATCCTGTGCATTTCACCACACAACTGCAACCCATTTTCTCTGGGACCCCTCTCTGCACAGAGAGCTCTTCTCTTTCTTTTGCCTATTAAACTTTGGCTCTTAACCTTGCTCTGGTGTGTCCACATCCTAGTTTTCTGTAGAAGTGGGACAACCAACCTCAGCTATTACCCCAGACAAAAATGGCTTCAGTGGCAAATTTTATGCTGTTTTTATCATAATCAAATTTTTTCAGAACAGCTAAAAAAAAATCAAATTTTTATTAACCAAATAAAATGCTCATTAAAAAAGAAAACAGTTCTTAAAAACACTTTAATCAAGTGTACCTCAATTGTTTTATATAAGCAAATATTATATACAACAGAAAATGCTACATTTTCGTATCTCCTATTTATTTAAAAGATTATTTTCAAATTTTTTAATAATATATTTGCTGACACAAAATGTAAGCAAATCAAATCCAACGATGTATAAAAAGAAATTATGCACCATAATCAAGCAGGATTATCTCAGGTATTGTATACAAGGCTGGTTCAATATTTGAAAATTAATGTAATCCATTAAAAAAGAAAAATCACATGAACCTACTGACAAGTGCAGAAAAAGTATTTTGCAAAATCTAGTATCCATTATCATAGAAACTCATCAAACTAGGAATAAAAAGAGAATAGCCTCAACCTGATAAAGAATATCTACAAAAAAACTACAGCTAACATCCTACTTAATGACAAGTGATTTGAAGATTTCCCACTAAGATCAGGAATAAAGAAAGAACTTCACTTTTTACCAATCCTTCTTAACACTGTACTGAAAGTCCTAGCTAGTACATTAAGAAAAGAAAAAAAAAAAAGAGGTAAGGGGAAAAAAAAAATCAAACTGTCTTTGTTTGCAGATAACATGATTTTCTCTGCAGAAAATCCAAAACAGACCAAAAAACCTCCTAGAATAAGCAATTACAGCAAGCTTGCAGGATTAAAAAAAATAATGAAAGTCAACAGCTTTCCTACATGCCAGTAACGAGTAAGTGAAATTTGACAGTAAAATGCACTCCTTTTACAGTAGCACGCAAAAACCGACAATACTTAGGTATAAATCTAACAAACTATGTACCAGATCTATTATGAGGAAGACTATAACACTCTGATAAAAGAAATCAAGTAACTAAATAAGTGATATTCCACGTTCATTGATAAAAAGACTCAATACTGCCAAGATGTCAGTTCTTCCCAATTTAATCTACAGATTCAGTGCAATCCCCATCAAAATCCCTCTGCTTCAGTCACAAGGAAACTCATGTGGCCCTTCTCTAGGAACTTTATGAAATATTATATATATATAAAACCAGCTTGGGGTAGTCCAATTTATGCATCTATTCATTTTTAATGCTGTTACATGGGCATTTCTTAACCATTGTGAACAAGATTGAGGATTTATAAATATATGCATGCCTAAAGAAGACCACTAAAAAATTGATACGAAGAGTAAACACAAATATATTAATCAGGATCTTTCAATACATCTACAGACTAGACTCATACAAAAGAAGAAAATATATATAATGGCTAAAAACTAAGGTTTAAATGATTTCTATGCCAAAATATTTTAATATATTATTTGATATAGGTTTACAATAGGTAAGCGATACTGGTACATTCCACTTTTATCTGTGTGTTAACTTAGAAATTCTTAAACTACAATCCAGAATCATTTCAGGAGGTTTGTAAAGTTGAAACTATTTTCACAAAATGTTATTTACCTTTCTCACTCTCATTCTCTCACAAATGTACAGTGTAATTTTCAAGAGTTATATAATATGTGATAATTTCATCACAATGATAGCTAACAGGACGTATACTTCACATTCTTGTATTCTAAAAAATGTTTTAACATCTAATATGGCAAATATTGATAAATGTTAATCAAATATTAAAACAACACTCTTTGGACTCAGTCTCAAAGAGATCTGGAGACCAAAATGGGTGTGAACTGCTGGTTTAACCTAAGAATTAACCTGCCATTTTCAACTCAAGCCATTTTCCAGAGTTTTCAAGAACAGAAAGAGAATTTTTAAGGTTAGCAATTTTAGAAAAATGATCAAGCATATATAACAATATTCTTTATAGAAAATATAATAAATATGAACAACTTAAAGAACAAAGAATTATTAACCAAATTAATAAAACTTTAATAAGCATCTCTGAATATATGAACAGTTAAGTAATAAGCAAATGGCAGTAAGAAATATATAACACTTCAATTGAAACACTAACTAGAAAAAATTATGCAGCAGCCTTGACAGCTGGTTAATCCAAAAGCTCTTGCAGGTTTTCCTTTGCAAAGAGTCAATGATGAGAACTGCAGATACAAATAAATTTATTTCTTTCTCTTTAGAAAAAAACAAGAAAAAAAAAACAAAAACCCTGACTAAAGAAAGTGTCTAAGTTAACCAAATAATTGCTCAAAGAAAGAAAAGGCAATTAAAAATAAAATTTCCTTAATGCACTTAAATGCCTAAAATGAAAATTTTAGAAAAGAAAATGTACCTGAAAATGGCTGGGTTGCAGACATGCTTTGGATCCAATGCTTCTCCTTGTATAAACTCATAGCATAGTCCATTATTGAAGGTACAGTAGAGTTGTGGTGCACACCCATGAGCCTGTAACACTCGAAAACTCTTTACTTCCTCATCTCGATCAACTAATAACTCAGTCTTATTGCCATAAATTCTCACCAGGACTACATCCTCCATGGTATTTCCCACGTAACAGCCAATAAGTTTATTTGTGATTCCATCTGTGAAGAGCTGCCAGAAAGAAAAAAAAAATTGGGAAAAAAAAGCAATTACTTATCTTTACAGAATAGGAGATAAACAGAAAATAATGAGTTATATCTAATTAAAGAAAACACCAACCTCTTAACATAAAAGAACCATCTTTGAATACAATTTTATCTAACATCCACAATTCTAATTCTAGATTTAAACAAAGAGCACCACTAATGTTAATATGTCCCCCCTAATTCATATAACATGTCTTCCTTGATCCAAGTGTTATTCACTCTGTCTTCAATATTTCTATATAAGTTTTTTGATACCTGCTATGTCTCACAGTCTGTCTTGTATCACAATTTTTGCACATTTGTGTATGTGTGTGTGTACACATACAGAGAATCTCTCCTATGTCCAACAGATCGGAAAGTCTCTGAGAATGGGAACAGTGTCCTATTCCTAGTATGGCTCATTACTTATAGAAGTCCTTAAAAACATTAATAGATTAATAAATATACAAATATAATCTATAATAATTTATATATGGCAAATCTCCAACTTAGTAAAAACTAAATTTTAAATATTAATTTTAAAAATTATTTAACATAACATGCATTAAACATTGTGCACTCAGGGTGCCAGAGTTTCAACTATTATAATGTAACCACTATGGCTATAAATGAAAACACAACCTTACAGGAAGATAAAAGAGTTAAGTAGAGATTTCTATGGTATTTTTTAAATGAGACTTTTGGGGCTTGTCAAGACCTGTAAGTCAAGCACTTCAAATCCTTTTTTAGATCTGAGCACAGAAGGTGTATTTCAAAAGAAAATAGGTAATTAGCAATACTATTCACAAAAGTCTATTAAAAATTATAATTTTCATTTTCCTCTGTATTAATCTGACACTAGAACTAACACTTCTATTATAACTCAGAACTTTTGGAGGCTCCCAAGTGAAACAAAGAGAGATAGGAAGAAAGCGAAAGCAAAACTTAGGACTTTTTTTTTCACGTAAACTGGGCAAGAATAGGAAAAAAGAACAGAAGTTTTAAAAGTATGTATACATGTTTAACTAATGCCTGAGAAAGAAGATAAGCATTTCTATCTTAATTAGATTTTTATGATAATAAATGACATATAAAAAAAGATGTGAAAGTATTTACTAAAACTATTAATATACAATTAAGCAGTATTTACATAATCATTTTTATTATATACAGGGCTTAGCTGTTATCCTTATTCACATAATGCAGTAAAACTTCATGAACCAGTGAAAAGGAACGTATTTTGGATATCTCTGTTTTTTAGATATGCACATACTAGTACTGCTTTCCACCTAGATTTCAAAAAGACTGTATGAAAGACACTGCCACGAAGTATATGTACTTTAACTGAATGCCAATCATAATTGTATTAAAATCTGCATTGAAAAATGTGTTATTTCCTATCACAATGCCATTATCAAGTCAAACATGCTATTCTGTAACTTTTTCAACTGTCATAGATAAAATATTTCAAATACAGTATTTAAGACTGAGAAACCATTTAACATCCCGAACTGCTTATAGTGAATGAAACTCTAGGCTCCTCAAACTCCAGAAATCATCCTTTCCATTTTCTGAATCTTCACAGTAAACAGTAGGTACTTAATACTTAAACATTAGAACCCATATACTTAACAACATTAGTGTCTTAATCTAGCTTATAAAAATTGCATTCTCTTATTCTTGCCTATAATGATCAAACATATTCCTTAACAGAGCATGCTGTATTATACATTTATTTGTACATACATAAAAAGATGTATGCATTTAAGGGCTAGAGACAGAAACTTTACTAAATATAGATTACAGAACACTAATTAAACATTTATAAAGATGACAGTGTCACAACTCCAATGACCCTAGCCCTAACTTTCTGTATTGCACAATGACTATGCAATTTGGTAATGAAATGATAGGCAAATAAATCTTTAGAATAGGCAGGCCATGGTGGCTCATGCCTGTAATCCCAGCACTTCGGGAAGCTGAGGCAGGCGGATCACAAGGTCAGGAGATTGAGACCATCCTGACTAAAACGGTGAAACCTTGTCTCTACTGAGGTACAAAAATTAGCCGGGCATGGTGGCACACAACCGTAGTCCCAGTTACTCGGGAGGCTGAGGCAGGAGAATCGCTTGAACCCAAAAGGTGGAAGTTACAGTGAGCCAAGACCGATGCACAACTGCACCCCAGCCTGAGTGGCAGAGCAAGGCTCCGCCTCACAAAAAAAAGAAAGACATCTCTAGAATAAAAAGGATGTGAATAACATAATTCCACATTTATGAAAATATGTATAAAGATTTGTCTACAAAGATATTAGGTAATTTAAATCTAATTCAACATTCAACATTAGATGAGATCACTCTGTGATCATAAAGGATCCAGAAACAACAAAACCACTCTATAATCATGCCTCATGGTAGAAAAAAATATAAACTTTGTCCAAACAACAAAAATTACCAAATATCCCCTTATCCTGGCAAATAAAAGTGACTGCTGCTTCTTTTCCAGTCACACTTTGACCCTGCTTCAATTCTTCAGCCATCTAAGTAAAATTAAGATATCCATAAGTCATAGACTTGTCCCACTTCCTTCCTGACAGCATCCAATCCAGAGGACACCGTTACGTTGAATCCTCCTCCAAATGACAAATCCCCACCATTCTCAATAATGTAGTTCTCCCTTACTGCGGTGAGCAATAAACCCAACTTTTTCAGCTACAGGTGACTTTCTACTGGTCTCTGGCTGGAAAACAATGACTTCAGTTTAAAGATGTACAGGTAATACTTCTTACCTTTGCATTGTTCCCACCTCATATATAAACTACAATGTGCTGAACCATTTAAAATATACATTAAAATACACTATACGTACTCTAGCCATGTATACTATATTAGATATATACTAGAAATATACAATTCCACCTCAGTAGTCTCAGAGGTGAGATAAAATATAAATCTTTGTGAGTTCCTTTTAGTGGGGTTTATCCTGCACTATTTGTCAAGTATTTCAGATAGTAGTGGTTGAGAGGATGAGCTACAGAGCCAGAATTTGAGTTTGAATCCCAGCTCTATTACATACAAACTGAATAACCTTAGGCAAGTCATTTAACTTCTATGTTTGTCTATCTCATATATAAAATCAGCATATTAGAATCTACTTTCTGCATTATTATGAAGATTAATGAGTTTGCATATATATATGTATGTGTGTGTGTGTGTGCTTAGAACAGTGCCTGGCACATAATAAGCTTGTAAATGCAGTCAATGATACATTTAAATTTCAATACAAAACAGCAAAATAATGATGAAATTATAAATTAATAAGACTAAATTTTTGTTAAAACAGTATTTCAAAACAATACTTTTAATATGCCTCTAAAAGTAGCTTAAATCCAAATAACTAAATGTTAAATATCATTTCTGGGCAAATTATTTTTCACATCTAAAACAAGAAAAGCCTTTCAATTTAGTTAGAAATGCCATTCAACGTTATTCTCTCAAGTTAGTACTACCCTATATGCATTTGGTTTTGTATGACTAATTATACCCTGATAAATAATCCCTAAAAATGTATACAACTAAGCTAGTGAATTTAGTTCCTAATCACTTTTAATCTTTAGTTTAAATATTAACAGCTTTTAAATATTAGGGAAATTAACAATGGATTCTCAATTTGTTCTCTGCCTTATCTCATCGACATGATTTTTAAAAACAACATCTATATTGTTTAAAAACACAATTTAAACTTACCTTTTATAAAATTCCAACAATTCAAGTCTCTTTATTTTTAAATTGCTTAATATTAATGAAGTTATCACTGTTACTCTGAAAACCAGCAATTAAAACAGAATTAAGCATTTCTCCTACATTTTGTATACACCGTATTTCATAGTACCCAAAACGCTCTAATTAATGAGAGAAAGTTATCTACCAAAGAATTCCAGTTAACAAATGTGGAAGAAACAACAGAAAAAGTAATCGGGAAACGATCTTCAATGAATAAAACCATTAGATAAAAAATTGATAGGTAATTTTATAATGATAGGAGTCATCTGTCACTTCCTGATTTCATAAAACAACCTGACATGTTACACCTTCTAATGTGATGCAATATGAAATATGCTGTACTACCCATGATTTGAAATCTAATCAAGCTTATAGATCTTCCTATTTTTAAGAAAAAATAGAGGTTAAAGAAACACCACATGGCTGGCCATGGTGGCTCATGCCTATAATTCCAAAACTTTGGGAGGCAGGCAGATCACTTGGGGTCAGGAGTTCAAGACCACCCTGGCCAAAGTGGTGAAACCCTGTTTCTCTAAAAAAATAAAAATAAATTAAATTTTAAAAATAAAACACGCATACAAAGAAGAAAAACAAAAAATATACAAATCCAGAATTTAAGTCTGTCTACACAAATGCCCCACTAATAGTCAACAGCATGACAATCTACTTTAAAGAGGCTTATGAAACATACCAACCAATGCATAGATCTAGTTTGTTTCCTAACTCAAACAAATACGTATAAAAATATTTTTTGAGGTAACTGTGGAAAATTTTATTATGAACTGGCTCTTAAACGGTACTTAGACATTCCTGCTAATTTTGCTCAGTGTTATAATGGTGCTGTGATCCTGTAAAAAAATAACTTTTTATGTTTACAAATGCATTTTGAAATACACAAGGACCATAAAAAGATCTGACTGAGATTTGCTCTAAAATACTTCAAAGGGGTTAAAAAAAACAAATGAAGCAAATATGGATTCTGGATAGTATGTGAATATTCATTTCATTCTCTCAATTTCGAGACTTACAAAATTTTAGTTTTTAACTCACATGATGCAACTAATCAGAGCATCAGTGAGAAACTCTAGAGCTTCTATTAGAGATTTACATAATGTAATATAGCACAAGTATGTAAGATTCACTTGCTAGCAGATTCTAAAAGAAGTAAATGATAAAACTTAAAGATAGGCTGGCTACGGTGGCT